AATGAGAAGAAAGCAAATTCTCACTAACATGGCCCATGGCGGGGGAGCCCTGAGCCTCAGGGGTTGGATCCTGGCAAGCTGGGTGCCACATCTGGTCCCCGGGCCTTAGGTTCCCCACCCCTGTGATAGAGCAAGCAGTTCAATGGGCAGGGGGCATCAAAATGAACAAAAACAGAGCTAAATTATGACACTTTGAAATTATCTCTCTCTTTGTCCTGAAAAGCTACACACAGCAAACATTACACACTTGCCACGGAAGCACAGGTACCTCTGGGGAGGAATGGGGCAGCTGTTTTAACACCAAAGGACAGAACACAGAGTAAAAGGAGAGAGGAATTTGGGGAGAAATAAATACAAGTACCCAAGTAGGAACGTCACCAACACAAAGTAACAATCCTACTCTTGGGAGGTGTGATAGGAAATAAAATGACCATAAGGGTACGTCTCCAATGGCATAAAAAAACTGCGGCAAAGCAACAGCTGGCTCAGGTCAGCAGGCTCAGGCTCATTGGGCTTAGCATACAGGGCTAAAAACTGCTGTGCAGATATTTGGGCCTAAGCTCTGGGACCCCAAGAAGGAGAAAGAACCTAGAATCTAGGTGCCAACCCAAGCCCAAATGTCCACATAATTTGACAGCCCTATGAACCCAAGTTAGCTGGGTAAATGAGCTGAACCTGGATTTTACACTTCTTTTAGAGGACAGAGCCCTCAACAGCACATCTCTCCCCAGCACTATGCTGAGGTCCTGTCTCATCACTGAGAAGAGAGCCATCAGTATCACCTCCTGCAGCACACTCGATTCTCCCAGGGGTACGGATGCAGCCTATCCCTGCTTCACATCTGCTCTCACAAGTTGCCAGGGCTTAGATGTGGCATTTCTGCAAGTGGTAAAGTAGGAGACTTCTGCACCTGAAACTCACCCGTCTGCTGAACTACCACGCTTGCTACTTCCACATTCTTCTCCTGGATCTTCTGCCAGGAACTATCGGCACCTTTCACCCACTCACTCACAAGACACCTGTAGTTGCCCCCATCCATTGGCAGCGCCTGGGAGACAGACAGTCGGTAAGTGTCATTCCCCACAGTGTCCAAGCGCACTTCTCCGCTCAGGTAGCGCTCTTCATACTCTGGGCTGGACCAGAACTTGCCCTCGTGCGTCAGAGAGAGGATCTCCTCCCAGGCTGTGCCATTCTTGAGCTCCCAGGTAACTTGCAGGTGAGTGTGTTCTGAGGAGGTGGTGGATGCAGAGCAGTACAATTCAAACGAGTCTCCCTCAGAGAGTTTGCGAGAGATTGAGGACCGGGCTTTAGAACCACGCACAGTTAAGCCATCGGCAATCACTATTGAAAGAAGAAACACAGAGTAATGCACATGAGTTTATGGAAATGGTAGAGAGATGGGAAATGTAGCTGGCTGAAAATCAACCGGGCAATCACACTGACTTCCCACAGCTGGGCTTAGATACTCCCTCATCTCCTAAGTTCTCTATAAGCTGCACAGCTGCCTATTTACTGCCACACAGGCACTCAAGGACCTCACCCAGGACCCCCATAGCCATAGCTGGGAACCCCTTCCCCGGCCCCGACTTAGCCGGGTCACTAGCCTGCTATGGCCAAGGGAGGGATGGCCTGAACCTGGCACCTCTCCCCTGGCCCCAACCCAGCCATGGCCTGCGTGGCCCAGCCCTGGGTCTGTGCCGCAGCCATGACAGCCCTCCCCCAGCTCCAACCCAGCCAGAACCCGGCTGAAACCTGTAAGGGTGCCTGTCCTGCCGCAGCAAGCCCAGAGCTGCCACTGTGGAGAGGGAGATGCCTTGCCTTTCCCAGAGCAGGTACTGCTGCAAGGGGAGAGAGCTAGGAGTAGGAGCCCCGGAGCACCCTCCTCCTTCACTCCAAATCCCTCAACTCAGCCCCAACCTATAGCCTGCATCCCCCCTCCAGAACCCTCACAGCCCTGCACCCTAACCCTCTGCCCCAGCCACAGTACCCTCATCCCTGGTCCACTCCAGAGCTCCACCCCAAAGCCTGCACTCCCAGCCAGAGCCTTCACACCCAATGTTCTGTTCCAGATCTGAGCCCTCTCCCACACTCAGAACACCTGGACACTACTCCGCCACATGAATTTTGTCAGGTGCACCAATAGGAAGATGATGATGTGTCACACATCACCTCCATATTACTAGAGGTCTGCGTGGATACAAAATCTGTGTCCGCATCCACATCTGTATCCGCAAAAATGAACTGTGGATCTCTGCATGCAGATGTGGAAATCCATGAACATAAAGCAGATATCCACAGATTTGCTGGGCTCTCCTTATTGGTGCACATAGCAAAATTCATTCCACTCAGGGCAGGGAAAAATCAGAGGGAACAATGCTCATCTCCTCCACAACCTTCCAGTTCCCTCCAAAAAAAAGTCACATTAAACCCAGGTGTTTTATCAAAGTGAATCACTCACTTCAGGAAAGTGGAATGAAGTCCTTTATTTTATTCCTCACCCCTTTTTCTCTAGTTCTGCTATCGAGGGCAAGACCAAGGCAACCCCATTCCAGCCTACTCTATGCCTGCAGGGCGGGACCTGTTTCTATGGTATTCAGAGAAGCAACACCAAGGGAAAAAAGATTCTTTTTTGTAATCAAAGAAAATAAACCAGGATGATGATGCTGTCTAGAAAGCGGGAAACTATTCCTACCTCACCGGGAAACCCCTAGGTGACATGACCTTAGCTACAAAACATTCTCTGCCTCCCCTCTTTTATTCCAGTTCTCCCTCTCCTATCCTCCCTGCCTCAATAGCATTTGATATTTTACCAAGGGTTGTGGTGGATTCTCCTCCACTGAACTTTAAAAGCAGGATAGGATGTTCTAAAAGCTCTGCTCTAGGAATTATTTTAGAGAAGTCCTCTGGCTCGTTTTGTACAGGTGATCAGACTAAACAACCACAATGGTCCTGGAAAGGCTGTAAATTTGCAGCTCCCTGGACTCTTAAGAACGAACAATTTGTAGTTTGTTATTAGTTTTGGCAGTTGGTAACATGACAACTTCGGTAATATTTACAATAACGTGCCTCCTTCACCTTCTTATCTCACTTCCCTCTGCCGTTGCCACCCTTTGAAGAGCATATTTTTGAAGGGAGGCTTTAGGAAAGGATTTGGGGGAAGAGGGATGACAAAGATAACCAGTAACAGGAATTCAGGAAAAAAATGGGGATATGCTTATTTTCAGGCCAGATCAGAGTGGGGCAAACTATGGACCTTGAATAGCATCTGGCCCATCAAGCAGTTTTAATTCAGGCTTCAAGGTCCTGCTGGGAAGCAAGTTCAGAGATTTGCCCTGCTCTGCGTATGCCATGGCTCCATGTGGCTCCTAGAAGCAGCAGCATGTCCACTCTCCAGCTATGGAAGTCAATGTGTTGTCGACTACCTGATTAACCGATAAGCCTGGGCTACATGTGTTGACTACACGCACTCCCACTCGCCATAGGCAGCAAGGGAGGAGGGGAGCGAAAGCTAGCACCCATGAGGAGCTGGCTTTGAGCTCCCCGGAAGCACTGGCTCTGTCGTCCCCCCGCACCCCTTCTGCCATGCTGCAGCCTCTGATAGAGGCGCAGCAGTGCAGAGAGTGAAAGGGGCAGGCTGGAGTTGATACACGCAGGGAGCCAGCTTTCAATCAGGCTCCCTGTGCACGTTGGCTCAACGAACCCACCGGCCCTCTCCTCCCATCACCACCCCCTCTGCTTACTACAGAGGCAGTGAAAGGGGCAGGCAGGAGCCGGTGCTGGGAAGAGCCAGCTTTGTCATCAGTCAGGTTTCAGGGTTAGTCCCAATGGGTTCCTGACAGGTCCTGTACTCCGTCGATGATAAACTTTCAGCTGCATGCATGCGTTTGCTCCTGTCTAGCACGTTACCCGTGTACAATGAGTCAACTTGACAGACTCCAGAGAGAGCCCCCAGAGACCACAAATCTGATAAAGATTGAAATCACCTGAGCAGGTTCATTGCCAAACAAACAATAATAGCTGTCTGTCAGTGAACAGACTCACCGCTGCACCACTACACCTTATGTAAGCCGTGGCAATGGACTAACACCCATTAGGTGCCCTGGATTTCCAGCCGCACCCCACCCTCCCGCGGTCAGTCAGTGATCACCCTGTGGGATGCACTTTTATACACAGGCACAAACAAGTTACACATTACTGATATATCAGGTTGCCATCCTCTGTTATTTAGTTACCTTCCCTTACCTTGCAGAAGTAGAGTTTACTTACTATTCATCATGCTGTCAACTTCAACCCGGTCCTGAACTTAGGTCATTATGTACGTTATTTGTGGAGTGGCAGTTGGTACCAAAATGTTTCTCAGCAAGGTGCTCTGTTACAACCCCTCTGGCATGTGCTTGCATCCTGTACCTGGTACCTTTTGGAGTTCTTTATGCTTGACCTGGCTTATATTATTTCTCTTTAGCCAAGCCTCTTTCCTGCCTGCAGTTTCACTGAGCCAGTCTTGCTCACTAGATTTTAGGCCTGCTGATATTATGTTACAGACTCTCAACTTACTACAGGCTTAAAAACCAGTTCCTCCAGCACAAGCTCTACGGTGCCGCCTGCGCTCCCTCCCCCACACCTCCACCACGCTGCTGTGTCTATGAGCAGCAGCGTGGTGGGGGGAGAGGGTCAGGGGAGGCTGCTGCAAAGCAGCCTCTGTCCGCAGCAACCCAGGCTTGACGCAGACACAGGCTGATCCAAGGCAGCAGCCCATGGAGCAGCCTCTCCTCACAGGGAGCTCAGCCCTTCTGCAGATAGGGGCTGCTGTCACTCCACACTGCTGCTTCTGTATCAGACGCAGCAGTGTGGGACCAGCTGGTTTTTAAACAGGCTCTCCTGGAAGACTGGCTCCCGCCTGCCACCCCACGCTGCTGCCTCTGATACAGAGGCTTCTGATACAGAGGTAACAGTGTGGGGTGGCAGGGGGCTCCCCAAGAGTGGGGCCGAAGTGCACTGGCTGCCAGCCCTTCCCCCAGAGTTTATCGAATAGTCATGTAACTGATAAGATTTCACACGGTTACACGACTATTGAATTACACGATATCTAACATCCCTACCTCCAGCTCCTATGCATGGGGCAGCCACAAGGCTCCATGCGATGCTGTCTCAACCCCAACGCCCCCACACAACTCCCATTGGTTTGGAACCATGACCAATGGGAGTTGCAGGGGAGGCACATACAGATGTGGAGCAGCACACAGAGCCTGCTGGCTATGCCTCTGTATAGGAGCCAGCCAGAAGGGGGACATGCTGCTGCTCCCATGAGCTGCGTGAGGAGGTTAAGTGCAGGCCAGAGGCTGGGACCCCTGAGCATGCCCTCCCAGCATCCCAACCCCTCCTGCCCTCTGAATCCCTCTGTCCCAGTCCGGTGGCTTCTCCTGCACCTCAAACTTCTCATCCCCAGTCCTACTCCAGAGCCTGCAATCCCAGCCTGAACCCACAACCCCCCTGCACTCCAGCCCCCTATCCCAACCCAGAGCCCCACACACACCCTGATCACCGAATTTCTAGCTCCATGCAAGAACTCATCCCCGCAGCCAGAGCCCTTACCCCCCACCCTTTCACCCCAACCCCCATTTTGGAGTACTCAAGGCTCCCCCATACAATTTCCATACCCTGCTGTGGCCCTTGGGCCAAAAAGTTTGCCCGCCCCTGGTACAAATGCACAACATGATGAGAACATCCAGCATTATAAATAATGTTTTGTATGGATTATGAACACCCCCCACCCCCACCCTGTGGTCATACCTTTCACTTGGACCGTAGCATCATAATTTCCCTGAACAGTGGCATCTGTGCTAGGGGTGATGCACTTGTATTCTCCTTGGTCAACTGGCTGGATATTTCTGATCAGGAGTTCCACAGCATTATTACTGCTCCGCCTCAGCACAATTTCCTTATCATCAACCCTCTTCTGGTATTGCTGGGAGGTGAATGACAAGTCCCAGGTGCTCACTATACGCACAAAGTCAGTTCCCTGGGAAAATTCCCAGTCAAAGTTCTGTTCGCTGGGTCCATCATAGTCAGTAACATTGCAGGGGATCACCGTCTCTGTACCTTCAACTCGAATGAGTGGGCTTTTGGGCACCCTCACGATTCGCCCTTTGCAAAGAGCTAGATGAGAGAAGAGAAAACAGACAATTAACATAGGAAATACCATGCTGGATCCAATGTCCAGCTAGGCCAGTATTTATCTTCCGACTGTGCCAAGTATCAAACGCTACAGGGCGTGGCATGAGAAGTGGAGAGATGGAAAATTATAGAATCCCCTGACCTTACAAGTTTTCCTTCTAACCCATGTCAATTGCACTCTGTCCTGCACCCCAAGTGCTTTTCCCTCTATCTGCTTTCCCTGTCTAATAGAACTATGGATCATGAATAGCCACATAAATCTCTATTCCTTTGAACCCTCCAAAGCTATCACAAGACATTACTGAAAACAAGTTCTGCATGTTCACTATCTGTTGTGTAAAAAAAATGAAGTTTGTTGCCTATTTTCATTTGAATGTCCCCATGTACTCTATTTACCTTTTCTACCCATGAAGTTTGCCATTAGTATATTTTCTCATTCACTCCTCTTTCTAACAGCTCTGTATGAAGAGATTCTGAAAAGACTGGAAGTCTTCTCATGTCTCTAGTCATTTGTCACCCACTGTTTCCATGCCTGATAAAATATTTGAGATAGGCTGGCCATAAGTCACAGTGTTCCAGGTCGGGTTGCATCACTGCTTTACATAAACACTTGGTAATATATTGAGCATTATTTCCCATCCCATTCTGTATTCATTCTAGCATTGTTTGCTTAGTGACATACTGTCTATTAAGGGAGTTTCTACCTTCCTCTCGGGTGCCAACTGAGGTTTGTTCATTAAGATCAGATAAAGGTATCCCACCAAATCCATTTCTTTCAAACTTAGATTTTTCCCAGTCCCCTTTTCCACTAGACTAGACACAATAGCTTTACATAACATGACTAAGAACTGAACCAAGAATTAAATGTTTCTACTTTTCCATCCATTCTTATTGCCATAATGGTTCCACCTTCTGAGAATTTCAATTAAGACACAACAGTTTGTATGAAGACAGTGGGGTGACTGCACAAGAGAAAAGAGTATTTGGCCCAGCCATCCCAAAGTGAAAGTCCACAGCTAATTAAGGATATTAAATTTAGATCAACTAATCAAACAGTCAATGCAATTTGCATCAACTATTCAATTAGTCCATAAGGCCGCCTCTGCCCCATGCTCTCTGTGCGTGCTTTGCTTTTGAAATGTACAAGAGCCCCCTTTGGGAATTCAGCATCCCTGCTCTAAAGGCTAATGATTCTAAACCTTCTGTAACCCCATGCATTCCTTCTTCCCACAATAAAATTTAAATGAAACAAACTTTTTATTTACTCGAAAGATCCCCAACTTCTCCCACTTCTGGAGCACATGTTAAGACCACTTATTGATTACTCATTCCTCCTCGAACGTCTTCTGTTAGAAACCCTGATATGCCAAGGTTTCTATCCATGATAGGCAACACATGCTACAATTGTAGTAAAACGGCATTTAGTGCAATATAAAAAGCGTGCATCTTGCAAATCTTTTGTACACATTTAATTTCTCTAGCCAGTCTGTAGAAAATCGGTATGGGTCATCATTTGCTGGCCAAGGAGTCACACATTTAAGGTTCCAAAGAGCAAGGTCCTGTCTCTCCTTGTCCACTGCATTTTAAAAATAAGTTTGGGCTCTACCCCATTACTGCCACAGAGCAGTTCAGCAAAGAATGTTGTCTTTCCTTTCTACATCAGAAGAAAAAGAGTGATCAAGATTGAACTGTCCAGCCTGAACTGCTGACTGACAAATTCCAAAACAAATAAAAGGAAGAGCCTACAGTTCAGGAAAAAACAGCAGCTTAAAATACAAGCATAGAACTCAGAATTCATTCTGCACCCGACACTCCAAAACCCAGTGAATACCATGGCACGAATGCTTTAGGTTGATAGCTAGTAATTCCTGTACCACCAGATGGTGATGTACCAGAAGTCTGGATAATATTACAACTATTTATTGGAAAACCAAGAGTGCTCAGAGTTGTGCAGAAGACAGAGAAAGACACGGTGCCAGACAGTATTCCTTAAACCCCTTGACCATGCAGGCAAAGTTAATTCCCTGCGGAAGACTGGAGAAGCAATACATTTTGCTAGGACCAAATGCAAACTGCTCAATTTAGCCAGATGACCTGGCAAAGAAACAGCACAGAGACTTTTCCGGTGGGTTTGGCTCTGTTGCTGAGAGAATAATGTCTGCAGCTGCAGGCTGGCTTTGGCAGGTTAGCACACTTCCCAAGAGAAAATGAGTGCTGCCTTCATTCACAACCCCAGCCTTTCCATGAAAGGAAAATACTTCTTCAGCAACCGACGCAAATCTTTCAGATTCAGTCTTTCAACGAAATCACTTACAGAAATCTGCAGTCCTGCTCCATCACCCCAACCTATACGCCAGGGTGCTGAAAGGATCTGTCTTCCCGAGACCACCCTGGTTTCTAAGACCAAAAAGCAAGGTAGTGGAGCTAATATCCAGAGTCCTTGGAGAGCACTCACATGGGAACTCTCAGCTCAGATTTACAAAATAAAGTTTAACAACTTTTAACCACTGTGCTTCACCATCCATACAACGGAAGCCACCTGTTATAGACCTTGAAAAACAACTTATTTGTCTGAGAACAGGATTCAATAGTGAAAAGATCCATTATATTCAATTATATCTCTATCTGCAGATCAATTAATTACATCAGATCTAGGAGGCCTAACGTGAGATTCGGGTCATATCCAAATTTAGCTATAGAATTACCAAAAATACCAGGATCCATCAACAGGAACTTCTCTCTCAGGGAGGGGCCCCACATCACACTTGTCTTATCCATCCACACTTCTTTCCCACAGCCTGCACCAGTTGGCCACATGAGTACTTACTTCAGTACAACATTAATTATTCTTATATTTCTGAAAGTTTGTTTGTCCCAAAAGATCTCACGAAACAGTAAGAGCTACAAACACCAAATTTTGCACGGATACTACTGATTTCTTAACTTCAATAACTGGATTGTTCAGATCTTGGAATAGGTTCCCTGATTCCCCCATAGCCCCAACCGGGCCCACTGATAATTAGCTTTTAGTAGCACCTGATCATAGAAACACAAAATTTTGCACAGATACTCCTGATTTCCTAACTTCAATCACTGGATTGCTTATATATCAAAATCGGTTCCCCCAGAACCCCAATTGGGCCCCCAGAGCCTTGTGTCACTAAATAGCTTTTAGTAGCACCTGATCATAGGCATTTGCTGAACTCTTCTTTGAAGCGTGTCACAAACTGCAACTATGAGATCCTTTCCCTATGATAACAGAGAAAGTACGAGCTATGTTAATTTCTTACAGTAATATAGGAGAGAAAATTATTTCCAATAAAATATGCTCTCTTAATGTCATTGATGTAGTTCATTCATCACATCTTTTACTATATTTTCCCCGGGCGACACTGGGTATTTCTGCAAGTAACAAATAAAGCTTCCACAATCATTTTAAACAGTTTTGTGCCACGAACATTAAAGTAAATGATCTGATATGATTGTTTTTTGTTTTCTGATTATAGGCAGCATGATTTTCCCATAGCAATTTAGTTAACAAATGAACGAAGCTTTGATAGGTGGTCTTCATCACCCTGGCTGTTAACTCTGATTGTGTATTTTCCCACAGAATCACAGCCCAGATTCAGCTCTTCATTTTGAAGTACAATAATTTCAACTGGGCATATGCCTCATACAGCAAAGTTAACACTGTAGTAAGCCTCGCTAATTTCCTGACTTTCATGCTATTAAGTTTCCAACCTTAGTGCTTCATTAAATGTAGGTTTTTTACTTTTAACACCTTTAAGGAAAAAAAGCACTATAACAAACCAGATGAAATAACAGCAGGGAGACATACAATTGTGATAGATCAAGTCACTTAGCTGTTAAGGAAACTGGACTTCTTTTGCACCACTCAGATATATTTCTTCCATTTTCTCTAATTCAGTTTTAATGCAGGAGCCCACCCAGTGAGAGGCAGAGTTTACTGTCTGCAATGTAAGGAAGGAAATGAATGTAAGCATGAAGATGTGCTCTTACAGATTTCCAAAGACAGAAGAAGCTAGAGGGACTAGTTTGGTGGTTTAGAGCATATTTAGCCTTCTGTCCTCTGTTGTTGCATTACTTCCTGTTAGTCTGCAAATTCAGGATAGTCACGTACCTTGTATTTGCAACCTCCATGAAAACCTCTGCTTCAATCAGAGACTGCAGACTAAGTACCATGTGGCTTAAGGCGTGAAAATTATGGGATATAGATGTCATTATGGGATGGAGAAAGTGACCTCCTGGGAAAATGACCTCTAGCTCTGAGCAACCTCTAGGCACCTCATTATTATTAAAAAAAAAATTACAAAAATGCCCCCGAATGCATTGCCTCACATAGCAGTACTTGGCACACTGGGATACGTACTACGTTAAAAACTTAACATAGATATGGCCTAAATAAATGAGTACTCATCTTCTCCACTAGTCTTCAGGTGTAGCTCCACATATGTACTGTAGCAACCCAATCTAGTGGTGACAAAGGCATAACTAATGTGGGGAGGTCTACCCATTTACACTGGGATAGACAAAGCCAGCTCACATCCTCATTTTTCCAGTCACCACAGATCCCACCAACTTGCACTGAAGACATAGACATTTAGCACCTCTGAAAAAACAGGTCTAAAGCACTCTGCTGAATTTGTTGGACATGCATCCTGAACAACCCTCCCCTCTTTCAGGCCCAGTTCTGGCAACAGGGAATTGTTTCATTCTTACTGCGGGCAGGGAGGAGAGGAAGGAGGAGGAGAGAGGGTAGAAAAGACCTGGAGGAGAAATAGCCTGTGCGAATTTTCTACAGGTTTATTTTCTGAAAACACCATTTGTGGCTGTTCATATTGAAAAAGCCCCTCCGGCTCCAGGACCACTGCAGTCGAGTTAGTCTGTACCAGGAAAAATTTAAAAAACAACAAATAGACTAGTAGCACCTTAAAGACTAACAAAACATGTAGATGGTACCA